AGGTGCCGAAGGCATTTCTAGTAAACAACGTTTGAGCTCGAGGTAATACGGCATGGGCATCGTATAACGGAGACGTTAACTTACTTGTGGTGCAAGTATGGGCAAGGATGCATGCGTCTCCGTCGGGTCTAATCTCAATGGGAAGGTCGAGACCCAGAGAACTACTGGTTGGTTGGAGACTAGATATGAAACAGGCACTATCTTTTGCGCTGGCAAGAACATTGTTTTCGTCTTTGGATATTCCGCCAATGTCGGTTTCGGTCTCGGCCGTCAAATGGCTTTGGGGGACATGGAAATAGGAATCGTCCCGAGTATCCGAGGGAGGGTCCGACCATGTAGAGACAAAGACTTCTTCGTCATCATCCCCCGTTTCCCTGGCGTTGTCGATATGATCCTGTACATCCACAAGGTACCGTTTCACATCTTCCACAAACGATTGACGCGGCTCATTGTCATCCGGAAACATCAGGTGAGCAAGATTTGTCATGACTCCCGGCGAACATATGCAGGTGGCAAATAGAACGCAGAAAAGCCACAGGGTATGCGTCATCTTTCCCTCGCTGTTAATGTTAAAGGCTTCGGGAAGGGCAGAATCTGGATCATCTCGTGGAGACCGTGGTGACGAGATCGACGGAGAATTATAAACTATTCCATCGTCACCCATCTCGTCCCATCTGGGTTCTGTCGTCCAATGTCTGGCAAAATGCGAGTATATTCGTAAGAATCGGATCGTAAAGTCGTCTGCTACGCGGATGCGGTAAACATACGGAGCATGCCGTTCTACAACGTACTCACCTATCTCGCGTTCGTCACCCAATACGCGGAAGTCCGTAGGTAGACTTAAGTTTCTGGAATTAAAACATGACCGCTCATCCACCATATCTATTCGCTTGTTCCCGTACCTGACTCGGATCTGTAAGCGCCCCTGCATGTCGGCATCGTTACCACCGTCGGCGGAAGAGTGTACCACATCTATGAGGTTGTTGATGAAGGCGGAGAAGGAGCCGTAACCCAAACTAACGATATCGTATTCGTTCTCCGGCAGGGTGAAGCCGTACCTGGAAATGAGCTCGGCGTTTGAAAGCGATCCATATGTGTTGAATACTTCAGAATGAGGTAGAATGGGTTTAACAGAACACATGTCAAGGGTATCAATCTCTAGCGCCAAATCAGATTTGGACACTCCAGGAAGCGAACAGGCCCCTCCTCGGGAAGGAACGGCAGTGAGAGTTTCGCGATCGTGGTCGCACTCCGCTAGAGATCCACATTCGGCACAAACATCAAAGTCACTCTAAAAAACAAACATGTCAGCTTGCATCCCTTGCGAAAAATGAAATGCTGAAGAATAGGCGTTAGCAAGACGACAGTGCCACGCGGCCCACAACCGCGTCCTTGATATGTCGGATCAAGATGGAACGGATTTTCTAAGTCCATGCCCCAAATGTTGATAGACCCACCTCCATATGCACATGATTCTCGTTGGTGTGATTGAAGCTATGGAGAACGTTGTTAGTGGAGGAAGCAAAAATGTGAACCAGACCGAAAGAAGATAAGTTTGAGAAAAGTAGCATGGTGAATGGCATGCAGAAGCTACACGTGGGACCAACCCAAACAACTAAAGTCTTCCGTGACTTTTAGCTCCTGTACTAGTACTACTAGGTCCTGGTCTGACACTCGCTATAGTGTGAGCTTGTGAGGCCTAGTAAGGAGCCGCCGGCAGTAAGCAAGATCCAGTCTAAACTATAGTTGTGCCAGCATATTACTACTTGCCGCCGGGATGTTGCGAGAGACAAAAACGTCAACCAAAGCAAGCTAGGGCTGACTGCACCGACGTCGGGTGGAGGCCTGTGGACTAGTGACAAGCACTCCCATATCATAAATAGGCGAATGAACAAAATAACGGTGAAACTCGGATAGAAGCATCGTCGTTGATGCGCTTCCGGAGGACAACACGATGCGGGGCACGCGAAGCCTATCAGAAGCATGACACTGGGCCACTGGTGGGAGAGAGTGAAGCCACGATCAACCTAATGGTAAGGAAGTACCTAACAGGAGAAGTTGCATCTGACGAAACTATAACTCCATGAAGCTCTACCACTATTATGGGTGCAATGTGAAGGGGATTTCCGCGATGCATGATCTCATTCATTCATCGAAAACGGAACTAGGCTCAAAAAGTAAGATGAACTTTGAAGTCACTCACGCATCAGCAACGGGCACCATCGCAAGGCCATGATACGCATCCGCCAAAAACGCGCGAGAGGACACGAGGGAGTATGCGTGACAAAACCCAGGAAGCGAGGGCTCCACTGAGTTTAACTCATTGCTGCATTCATCGAGACGTGGAATCTCACCCCCTAATACCTCACTGACATTGCGCTCGGCCTCCGCTTGCCGAAGTCTGCCAAAGGCTGCGTGTAGCGTGGGTTCCACGACGGAGACGTAGTATTGACGTATTTCATCCTACCGGGTCAATGTGATCAGTTACCAGGGAGTTCGAGTGTGACCGAGTGAAATTTGTAGGCCCGAAATAGAATGGAAGAATACATCATGATAATCAAAGAACGCGAAGAGGGATTGAGGGGAGTCGACTGCAAGAAGCAAAGGGTCTGATAGACGCATTTAGCAAAGCTAGAATAGCCATACAGGCTATGAAAAACCGGCATGACAAAGCGCAACGCCGTTGGAATGGTACCCCAATATCAGCAGAACCAGATATCAAGTAGAGTTGAAGAACTAATTTTGCCAAGAAGCAACAAGGTTCTGTCTGGGCGCCATGGATCATGTCCGAGGCGAAGGACTCTTCTATGAGTCGCAGATCTGAGGACTTAAAGAGACAGAAGTGAAGTCTCGACAAAAATTTAGCAAGTAGATATCACTAGAAGTGGCATCGAGCCAAAACATACTTTTTCAAGTACACGAGGAGAAGGCGTGTTGGCAAGGTAGTTGGCACAGAAGATAAGGCAAATTCATAAAGTTAGCAAAGACGGGAAAAAACATGCGTCGCCATATGGGAGAATGGAAGCGAAAGGGATAAGTGGTCGTGGAAAATGGCACCGATCATCGGCGGGTGATCCACGAAGGTGGAGGGTAATGGAAATGATGACCTAGCGAGCTCGTGTAGAGCACGCGCATCAGTCGGCCAAGCCGCCAAATGTACATGTCCAAATATGGAGAGCATGGCCGCCTCGAGATGGCACTACACCCATCAATCACTAATCATGGGTGTACCCGGATGATGTAGCGTGCCACGCTGGTCCAATTCTGTGTTACCCTTCTCAATTGGCTTCCCCACTGGGCAATAACATCATGGATCATCCCGGAATCGATCATCATCGCACAAGTCAATCTCGTCTCACAAGGATAACGCATCAATTGAAAAAGAAGCAAACATGGAAAGTGGAGCAGAAGACCAATGAATAAACCAGCTTTCGAAACGAAGAGTATCGTCCACGACACAAAGCGCATATCAAAACATTAAGTTTACGGATACAACGTACTTACCATTAGACCGTCCAGCTCTTTTACAGCCTCTGTACAGGAAAGCCACATCCGAGCTCGCTTACTATCGAGGTATTGTAGGCATGGAGCACACTCGGGGAATTCCGTATTGGAGCAAGCCGCTCCAACGTTGCCAGCATCATCTCCATTGGCACTGTGCGAAGGAATTGTCTCTCCGCGGCTTGAGCATACACAGGATCTGAAGTCAATAACGTCCTTGGCACCCCAGAATATAGCTGTGTCCACAGTTTCCCGCGGCAGGCTCTGGAGGTATCCGAACCACTTGGAATCTTGGCCTCGCAAACTAGGCGCAAAAAGGCGGTTTCGGCACACAATGAACCATAAAATAGCGTAAGTCGGTGGATCCAGACAGGAGTAGTTCAGATCAAAGAGCCAGGGAATGTCACAAAATGTCACACGACATGGAACCGGTTAGTTCGTTTGATCAGGTGTCATTTTTTGCATCAAGTATAGTTGCGGAAGGTTGTGAGAGCACAAGAAGCGGCAGCAGAGAGCAGTGTGGGAATGAGGCGAATCAGGGTGAAGGAGCGGAGCAGAATACGCGAGTGAGCTAAAAGTTGAAGACAAAGTAGTAGAAGCATGGAAAATACGTACATCTCACCATACAAGGCGAGAGCCAGTGCGAGATGTGCAGCATGGCCATATGGAGCACAGGTAATGTCCTGAGAGAGGAAGCATGACCTGGTTGAGAGAATAGCTGCCTTCGGAATGCGTACAACTATATCAATAATAAAGCGAGTCAGAATGAAGGATCGACAAAATTGTTTCAAAAGAAATAACATCGTTCTTTTCTGCCTACGTATGAGCCTGTGTCACATCTTGGTTCTCGTTTGACTCGTCTGCGCTAGAAGGCGGGTTACTACCCGTGCCCACGAGAACAAATACTGACAGATGGTTTACACCGTAAGAGCATCTTGGCTTGCAGCCAAGCGGTAGTTTGGGAATTGCAACCATCCAGTGTATGCAAACTAAGCACTCACGGGGACGGGAACAATCAATGAAGTCTTCGAGTGAGTACACGCTGATTCCGCGAGCGCGCGAGGAATTGCAGGAACTTTCCGTCCTATCGGCTAACTCTTGATGGTTTCTACTTTCCCGAACTTGTATTCTGGGATCGATTTGGATGCCATTTTCATTGCACCAAGTGAGAAGAATTTTAACTCTGGATAACGACATCCTGAGGCGACGAATGCAAAGTGTCCCCAGAATGATACTGGAAATCGGTGTCGGATAGCAGTGATGTGGTTGCTGGTAATTTGATGTGAGGGGATCAGACAGCAATGGAGGCCTGCAGAGCTGCCGCTGCCACTTTTCTGCTTGGAGGTGGATGATTTGAGGAAGTTGCCGTACTGGCAGTCGCTTAATCGAAGGCTTTGTTTGGGCTTTGTGGCAATGTTTTCCAGGGAATCTCCGCCGCCTGCCCCCGCCGAACCTGCTAAGTCTGTCGGTTATGTCTGCTTTTGTACTTAGCACAACAACTCCTTCTGCCGCTTTGCCACAGGCCTTTGAGAAGAATTCAAGAATCGAGAAGACCGCTAACCTTGTGCTAAGCCTAAGGAATATTCCGAACATATCAAGGCTCGCCACACATTTACGATCATTCACGATCCTCTGGAGTCGTCAACTCATCCATGGACATGGGCTACTGGCATCACTGGCATGTCCAATGACGGCCGTGGAATTCATCTGCCTCATATGATTTTTATCTTCAGACTCGCCGTGAGGCATTCCTGTCCAACTCCGAGTCCGAGGATGCCGTTCGCGAAGCGCTGCAGGGTGACGCTAACTTAGTTCTTGAATCTTGACAGAATGGCAGTTCCGTCAAGAGCCGAATGTGCTTGTATGCGTGCCTGCTTGGTCCCAACGGATACCTCCACAGGTGATGGACTTCAGTCAATCTTCCCTTGGCTAAAAGATTTTCATTTTATTGCTGATGACGCCGTTCATCTTGGGATTCTCTTCTACTTCATGGCTTAAAGGGCTTGAAATCCTTTCGGAAGAGGAAAAACATCTGGAACAAGAACGCGAAATGTTTATCCCTAAGGGCTTGGACCTCGGATACTGGCGACGCAGTCACGAACCGTATCTGTCGATGTGTTCTAGGGTGGCGCAACTACTGGATCGAGTGTCACTCGCTTGGAGCCTCAGATCTCGGCCAATGAATCACATTGCACGTCTGGGAGCTGATTCCCATCATTGGGTACTTGTTTCGTTCAGCAAGGACAAATGTCGCAATGTCGTTTTGTATGCTAATTTGTCATCGAAATATATCATCGCTACTCTACCTGATCTTCCCATAAGACACAAGGATGGAAATAATCAAGTCCGAGACCGATTCACACAAGTTTATCCAAGTCCCACGGATATCTGTTGTGGGCACGGAGAGGTCGGTAGTGCCTACTTGGTGAATATCACGCGCCCTTGTTCCCACAAAGCGTTCGAGTATTCGAGCATTTTGGACTTGCTTCCCACCGGAGTAGCAAAGGACATATGGCGGCGCGGCTATCCGAAGCGGAAACGCGTAATTTGGTATCGAGGTAAAGGAAAAATAAATAGAAGTGTGTAGGACGCAGAACTAATTATGGAGATTTTAGATGCTAACGGGATGGTGTTAGAAAGCAAAGGAAGGGGTGGAGATTGCGAGAGTGGATGAGAGACGCGGAGAAGGCAAGCTCTACGAAATTTTGACGTACCGTTATGGATTTGGTGTTGTTCAGCACAGTCAGTTGTTATCACGGAGTTTACAAAAAGAAGATGAAGATGACTTGTCTCATTGTATATTTTCTTCGGTAACACATGAACTTTGCCAATAATACTTTGCCTTTGCATTCGAAGCTCTGTCATAGTGCTCTCAAGTCCACCACTGCTCCAACACGAGGACAACCCGAAGACGGGATGCATAACGAAGAACAAAGTCTTAAGGCTCAACTTCCCACAATGCTGCGAGGGAAAGACTATACTCAGCACACGCTGAAGCTAGCAGGAAACAAAATAAGTCGGTTAATTTGCCCGAGCGCCCCAAAAGAAACTGAGGTGATCCATCAATACATCAAGACTCATGGCAGCCGTGCTTAACCCCTGACGGTCCCATTCTCATCAAGGAACACCGAATGAGTTTCCAAGTAACTCCCAAACAGCACCAGGTAACGGCGTGAAAGGGGAATGATGGTTACGTTTGTTTTCACCTATCCGTTCACCTTCCATGATGTTACTGGCAGTGAATAGGGCTACAAGCTATTTCCTGGGCGTGTTCCTGAGGAAATAGAATAGCATTTAGTGCCAACCACTAATGGCTTCGAAAAATGTTCGTATCTGCGGGAAGAAACCGGCGCCATCTGTCAAAACAGGGGTTTATTTTCGTATCAGATGCAGTCGAAACGTCGGAGAAGACATGTCAGGCTACCAGCGAGAGCGCCGCTCGAACAGATAAGTGGTAGTCTTACACAGCCTCAAGAAACAACCTCGCCATCAGACTAAAGAGTCAGGCATCAGATTCCTCGCCTGCGGAGTAACGATAAGGACGGCACTGATAGAACCATGCCTGATCTCGGACCTGGTATCAAAGCGCAATCGTGCCAACATAATGGTATCTCCAAGGGTGACGTGAATCTACATCTGGCCGATGGAGCAAACGCTGTATTTGGCCGGGCATTTAGATCGTCAAATCATTGTGACAAGCCACGAGGACTTGAGTCGGTCACTTGATTTCAATCGAGGGTTATCTCAGCTGTCAATGTCACTGCTGCGCACGAGAAAACCGGTCGATCGTGAACGGCTTCTGGATGGAAACGGTACGGCTTGCGGATGGTGCCTACGAGAACGTGTACGTATCCACATCGCTGTCCTGTTTGAATGAATGTGTCAATCACGTAGGATCATCCTGTCAGGAAGCTTGGGTTTGACTATGCACAGCCATGATAGATGACTTCTTCGTCACGGCGTTTTGGTCGAAGCAGTGCGGGTCTACAGCTTGTCGGATGACATTTGACTTGTTCCGAATTTGAGCATGTCCCACAAATCTGACTAACCCATGCTAGACAGCAAAAAAAGAAGTTCTAATTCAGGCCAAGAAACTCGAGGGTACCGTATTCTGCAATATAGACGTGCAAGAGGAAACCAATCGTGAACCCGCATGATGGTAGTCTGATGAAAAGTTGAACGTTCAACCGCAGGTGATGCATAAGAGCTCGATCATGACTTACATATACATAGATAGCAAACATTATTGGAAAGAATTACTTCCTCTTTGCCATCTGCATGGTTAAGTTGTCGATGTACATCTGCAAAGTCGAATTCTCGGACGTAAGTTTGTCGACGTCTGACTGGACGCTGTGCACTCGTGCAACAAGTGCTGAAGATGCGAGATTGGTGACTGTATAAACTGATATTCAGGAAGCAAGTACCTTGCAAATCGCCCTGTGCAGCTGCAATCTCTCTGTAGGGTGCCAATCAGAAGCTAGTGGTTAGAAAGTCAAAGGATAAACTGACTTCAAAATCCTCTCCTTCCGTATCGCATCCTTTACTATGTCGCCAGGTTGATGCTCAGGATCGCCCCAGGCTATGGCGGTTCCGAAATCATTGAACGACATGGCTATCACATGCTAAGGGTGCTCACAATCCGTTATTAGTAGTCATTTTTGAAATTTAATTAGTGCACACAAACTAATCAAAACTTCAACAAGCACTACTAGTACTTAGTACTCGGCGCTAATAATTCATCATACTACTAAGTATCATTGATTTAAATGTTACTAGATGCCCCGACGCCAAGCTTGAACCGAGATGCGGAATTTAGACACTGATGTCCATAGTCAGGGAATGCCTTGACTGAGTAACGTCTGACCTCCCGCTTCGCATGCCAGCAGAGCATCTACTCTTTCTTATCTTTCCCAGCACTAGCCTGACTCCCTTTGGCCTTAAGCTCCTCCTCCATCTTGGCCAGCTCTCTCGCCTCTACACGGCGTGCGTATTCCTGTCCGCCCTGTTGGAACGAAGTCAGAAATGAATATTGAGCGGGTAACATAAGAAATAAAACAGAGTTCTGCGATGCACCCTTCGGGCAGGAAATGTGATAGATAAATGTTTCAAATAGAGCTGAAAAAATTAGGGTGGACTAAGAAAGCGAATGTTGGAAGAGAGAATTGTTTGATGATTACCTGGAGGACTAGAATGGCACCAAGGACCACCATCATAATGGTGTTACCTGCTGAGAGTATCCGCAAGGCTTCGATACGGTCCGCACGTGTATCGACATCAGCGGGGGTGACGATGGTTCGCAAGGATGGAACTGATACTGCAAGGTAGACGGCTGCTGAAAAAATGTATCCCACTAATGATATTATTGAGCAATGTATCGAAGCAAGTCAAATCGACTCCTACCCAGACTTGATCCATCAAAGAAGATGGCACTCTCATCATATTTATGCAATTTTGCAACAAGTCCTAAAATACCAACCCCCATGAAGCCATGTAGCACGGCCTGTAATAATGAGTGACATCCTCCTGACATTGCTGCCCGCAAAGGGACAGACCTTGATTGCGGGTGGTGCATTAAAGAAAGTCGTATAAAATTGGAAGCCGTCTTCAATAGTCTCCTCTGTCAATTCCTGATGCAGAATGCGGTAATCAACGAAGAAGCATATGAAGAGGACTCCTGTCACAGAAATACGGAGTTAGATCCATCGGAAACATGAGTTGAAGTCTCACCAAGAAAAAAAGAGCACGAAGCAAGGACAGCGCCTTGTCTGAATCCCATCTTCAGGGTTGCTATGTCACTATTAGTACTGCGGCGTAAGTAACTTGTGTTCAAGACTGGAGTGGACGGGCTCACCAGAACTCGGATCAAGATATTGAGTTCGTAGGGACCTCGGATTCAGGAAGACCTATGTATTCTGCGGAATCCCCGGCCAGAAACGAAGAGATAAGTCACGGTTAGTTACGTCTGGTGCCGGGAGTCCCCACCAACTCTATTATGTAAGCAATGACCCCGACTTTCGTGTGCCTTACCCTTGGCAAGTCCGTGAGTCTCGCAACTTGATACTTCATTAATGAGTACTTTGAGGGTGATTCATTCTCATCATATGTGAGAGACTTGCGCGTTATGTGCATGATACTATCTAGCAGGATCTGGCTTGATCATGGCAGGTGCGCGTTATTCAATCGAAGGAACCCACTCATCCAGCTACTACCTAGTAGTAGCATCTTCTCTCGTCAGGGTACATCGGATCACCTCCAGCCAGGGATTCTGTCTAGGAAGCGACGATCTCTAGGCTAATGCGTTATCGACCAGCCAGGTGCTCATCGAACCCAACGATAAGTAAAGTCATATATCCATGTATGTGCAAGTTTGCAACTTGATGAGGGGTTCCCCTTTGAACCTTGTATACAAAGTTCAGATCCACGGTGTTTAAGTTCAAGCTGAGTGTAGAATGATGATCAATAGCACCTCCCACACACATATTCCCTATACTTACCACCAACTCACCACGCTATTTACAGGCAGCAGCAGCACTGTATTGTCATCCATCGCCTCCTTGCCGCTGCATATCCGGAGACCCTTGGAGGTTTGATCATAACCTGCATACCTGCGATTAATGTACTCGTTATCCCAAGTTGCGCATGAATTGCTGCAATGTCCATTAGCGAAGAAGAGAAGACGTAGCAAGATTCTCACTCGATTGACAGACAAGGCTGGAGTCAATGAAGGTAGATTCAGAATCCTACCGACGTTGCATATCATTTTTTAGTTCGTCGTAGGTCTAGGGCGTTCCTATCAGTAAGAAGAAATTGTCCACTTCTGAGATCTGATGATCTAACTACGGGAGACTAGGACGTTCCAGACACATCATAGTGGGTGCCGTCACCCTAGCGCCCGATTCTTATCTTTGTATTTTATCCGACTGTACACTTGCCCTCTGGTGTCCAAGGGATGAACACCAGCTGGTAAGTCTACCATCGCTATAATATTAGACCATTGTTGGCAATTATACGAGTAAACGCCCTGCCCTACTCTTGTCTGCCTTAATATTTACTCGCGAATCTAGGGGCTGCCGAAGCAATTTTGATGGATCACGATCAATGATACCATGATCATTGATGATCGACAAAGTGGAACAGTACAGGCGTGGCAAGTGTCGTGTGATACATAATCAAGTTTTAAGACAGGAGGAGTTAAGAGGACATGAAACTTCCCTGCATATCCAGACGAGAAGCTGGCTGCATGCTATTTCGGTACTACAATCGCATCCTCATGCTAGGAATTTGAAGGTAAAGAGGCGTGAGGCAGCCTTGATGCGTAGTTCTGTGAAAGGGTGGATGCAGGTCGGTATCACGGGCTAGTTTGTGCGGGAAGTTAAAGAATAAAGGAGTAACAAGGTGCTGAGAGGTGGGATGCTTCGATGGTAGCTTGGGGTCTCAAGCTCGGGTCGGGGTTGAGGGGAAAGAACGACTGTCTGAGAGTGAGAGGTATCTCATTCGCTTGATGATTGAATTAAGAATATTTTCAGGAGTGCGAGTCGTTGGGGTGCTGAACTCTGGCGCCGTCTCCATTGTCCACTGAGAAGAAAATAATGTTACCAGGACCTCTAGTTCAAAAGAGGAATAATCATACCTTGCGCAGCACTACGTCGTTGTCACTATCACCAGTAACGACCGCTGGAGGACTGGGCGTAATATCTCTGAAGACATTGCCAAGCTTGGAAACGGTTGAGGAGGAAGTGAGGGTCACGATACTGTCTAAGCTGTTCCCAGGAGATGAGATGGATGGCGATGACAAAGGAGTCGTGAAGTCATCGGTATCGTCGTGTGAGAAAGCAGGAGAGCGAGCATCATCACGAGCGGTTGCCAAGGAATACTCTTCACTACTAGTGGTCGGTGTACATGTTTCTGCAAGCCCCAGAACGTCGCAAGCGATTCTGTCGGACGCGTGGAGGAGCGCTAGGGTAGAAATGCATAAAGTAACAACGGCGAGTTGTGGAGAAGCCTGTTCTGCTTCCTTCAGGGCATGGCGAGTGTAACGAACCACGGTTTTGTTGAATAGGACTGCCGAAAGAACGCCAGTCATGATAACTCGGGCGACACTAGTAGAAATGAGAGAGGCAGCGTTCATTATGGATAAATGTGAAGAATTTAGTCGCGATGTTTTCACTGAACTGGTAGTTCTCAAGAGCACTGATAAAGCTCTGACTCGTATGTTCCGAATATTTGTTTGGTTGCGTACAGCGCGACTCACGTCACGTGTGCACAAAATCAAAGCACATTCACCAGACCAGTCGAATTTAACAACACGACGCGCAGTATAAATTACAGGTGCACTTCCGAACGAACTATATGCAGATCAATATTGTTCAAAGCTTCCACATCCCTTACACCACCTTCTCTACACCAGGGGGAAACTTATAGTTTCCCTGGCGTCTGACCTCGTCGAAGACATCCATCTCCACCAGGCTTTTATCGTGTCCCCAGAGCGAACTCTCACTCTTTTTATCGCGCACACACCGTGCAACCTCATCTGCCTGAAAATGCCATCCAGTGCCAACATACTCAAATTGCCTTGTCTCCTCCTTTGTCACTTTGCTGCCTTCGAGGTACTGCACAGTGAAACTCTTCGGGCAGTATATCGGCGCTGCAATTGTGATCATACCCTTCTCATATCGAATTACGGCACCGGTATGATAGGAAGCTATGTTCATGTTGCATGACAGAATGGCTTGTGCAGCTAATTCCCTTTCGACAAAGGTGACCGTGAAGGAGGTGTTGCAGTCAACCCCTGTCAGAGGGGTTTTCAACATTGTCCCACTGACGTTGCTGGGAGCAGCTCCTTGGTTATAAGGGTGCTCATACAGGGCGAGAATGGCCTGTTACTGTCATTAAGGGAATAAAGACAAAGATAATTGTTGCCTTACCCAAATAAGAGGATATGGTCCCCTGCAATAGGTCAGATTACTATTCTCCGCTATAAGATTTACCTTGTGTACTCACAAATCTAGTAACGCGCCACCACCAAGGGCAGGATCCAAGGCGCGGTGAGTCTTGGGAATTTCTGTTGTGCTCCGTGAGATCTGATGTCACATAACACAATGCAACATCACTCACCGTCAAGCTTAAAGTCATCTGACAAGTCGGCTTGGAGAGCCAATGGTGCACCCAATACACCACTTTCCGAAATTTTCTTGACCTCGAGTGTAAGAGGCTGGAAGCGTGTCCAAAGAGCTTCCATGAAGAACACTCCATGCTCTTTTGCAGCTGCAAGAAGCGACCGAAGCTCAGCTGCATTTGATGTCACGGGTTTTTCGCAAAGAACGTGTTTCTTTGCCTTGATCGCGTCGAGTGCGTTTTCATAGTGAAGAGTATGAGGTGTGGCTACACAACGCTCTGTAAGTTGAGATTGACCTAAATATGGAATTAAGTCAAACCAATGTAAACTGCATCGACGTTCTGCGCCACGTTTCGTTAGGTTGGTTGCTGCTCTGACGGTATTCTACTCACCGGATCCGCAAAGACACCAGCATAGCTCCCATATGCTTGAATCGACTTATCACCCTTGGCATATTCGGCGATGAACTTTTCTGCTGATTGGATGCTTCGCGACCCAACAGCAGTCACTTTGTGCGCTACATCAGTGACATCACGGCTGTATTTAACAATGTCATTTTATTTCACGACGGACAGCAGAATGGCGCTGACGTTTCGGGATCAACAAGAAGATCCTAGTAAACCACACTTATCAATTAGAAAGAGAAATAGGCGGATATGTTCAACGCACTGTTACGAAACAATTGGCTATCCTGCCAGTTGAGATAATGCCCCAGCGAAGAACGAACGGTTTGGTCATGACTGGCTGTGGGGCGGAATAATGATATCCTGTGAATGCAGGGATGTATTGAGGCGGGTTAGTATAACCAATGTAGATGCGTTCTATTGGCATTATATATGCCTTTGCAATGGTGGTCCAAGTCACGACGATGATCAGCTGATTAGGGGTTCGGCCCGACTTAGTCACTGCAGTCCGCTGCATTAATGTGGTAAAATTAGAACCCAATCCATCGCACCTGGTGCCTTTCACATGCACAACTCATCCACACGTCTGACCGTATCATCCGCCACGGGTTGTCACTGAGGGATCATCTATCATCCATTATCCCCGATTTTTGACACGCTCTGTTCGCGACATGTACGAAACTCAGGATGTCATAGCGAGCACCCTCCCCCAGCTATTCGAGCATTCGGATATCTTGATAACCAAACTCGCCCCGGAGCTCTTCCAATCCATCAGGAATACACCTCTTGAGACCACAGATCCCACTAACGCGCTCATCGAACGCGCTATCGCTATCATTCACGCATGGAATGCACATGAACAAGCAGAATTCATCGCTGCACATCCAAGGATCGGGGAAATCAAACAGCTCTCTGCGTTGAGTGCCAAAGAGCAAAGTGGTGGCCTCTCCGCTACCACAAGGTTGCAGGCACCCCCGGAAGTGTTGAAACGGCTAGAACACCTTAACGCGTGTTACGAGCGTGTGTACTCTGGACTGAGGTACATCACATTCGTGAACGGGAGAACTAGGGCCGCAATTGCGAGGGAGATGGAGGACAAGCTACAGCTCGGGCATCCTTTAGAGAGCTATCCAGATGGGCCTCCGCTGAACGAGCCTACGGCAGAAAGCATGATCTGTGTCGCGAAGAACAGTGAGGATTGGTTGCACGAGCTGACACGAGCGGTAGATGATGTAGGGAAAATTGCTAAGAGTAGACAGAAGTCATTGGGGTTGTGATGACATCGAGAATATAAGATCGGAGTTCCGTATGTACATTCTGCCATTACAATGTCCAGGGAGACTATAGCAAACATAATCACGGGCAGATCAATGAACAAATAAACACGAACACGAACACGAACCGAACAACAAGGGATCGCAGAAGGAAGCGAAGCATAGAAGTACAACAGTATCGCGAATAAAAACTCCAGCGCTGGGAGATAAATAAAGCAAAATACGCTCTGAAATGAACAAACTATTCGTTTGAGTTCGCCTCGCTAAATGCGAGTCGTGTGTCGTCGTGGTATTTGGCCTTTGTCCGCCATTTCTTTCCACTGTATATAAAATTAATCCATCGAATTGAGAGATGCTTGCAAAAATAAATGAGATGTACCTGTAGCGCAGCCTGCCTCCTCGATTCCCACTCTGGGTGGCAGTCGCGCAGTTCTTGATAGAATAGCTCAACCATTTCCACGTATCGCTGCTTTTCCTCTTTTATACGCTTGAGGTTTTCATAGAAATCTGCACGTTCTTTCATACGAGCCTCGCTGCGTTCCTTGACTTGACGCGCCCACTCTTCGCGCGTCTTGACTCGCTTGTCGTGCTGCTCATCCCAGTGTTTCTTGTTCTTCTGAGCAAGCTGAATACGGTCATCGTAGGCCTAAGACAATGAAATATGTTGGTACCCATCATTCGAACAGAGGCATAAGCATGATTAAAGACACACCTTCTTTTTCACTGGATCACTTAGCACCTCAAATGCCTCGCATACCTTGCAACAAAATCATACCATCAGCATCAGCATCAAGCAATCATTCGCACCAAGCTCAGACCACCCATACATTTCTGAACCTTCCCTCTGCAGCCCGGCGCTCTTGCTCCGATACAGGTAGGTTCGAGCTTGTCAGGGTGCGTTTCAAGAGCTTTCTGTTTGTATGCCCTCCTCACTGCGATTGGAAGTCAAGATCAGAACGACGAAGTAGATTAGATTAGTGCGAACCATCATCCGTAGAAGCGGTAGTTGCAATCGCAAGGACGTCATACAGCGTGAGTCCTACCATGGATGGGCAGATGCTATTCGAACAAGTTTATCGATTCAAGCTTGCCTCGCGGGCAGATCGACAGGTTTTTGGACCGCAGTAAACAAGAAATGAGGACTGCGAGCAACAGATACTAGTAGTCAAGCAGGGGTTGCAGAACGGATTTTGAATTCGAAGCAACTTCTGAGAATTTCAAACTTGAACGTTGAACCTTGTTTGGACGCCCGTCACCAAATTGATGACACGCGACCGCGTACATATCTCACGTGATGAGTACTTCTGTTCACAGGATTCATGTTTGAACTTTGCAAACTTGCACCAGATACTAGGCGACGTAGGCGTGTCATGTGAAAATTTTGTCTGTTGAGTCGAGATCCGCGGGAATGGTGAGCGCTCAATAGATCAAATACTGAACTGATGCAATGGATTTGCGGTTGGAGGCCTTGCAGTGTCAATCTATCGATATTACTACACCTTGCACTTATGACTTGTATCATACACCGTGACTGTGCACCCCGTCACCATTTCTTTTCTGCTGCCTCTACACTCCCAGTCGCTTCAGCCACGCAAGAAGGCCCACACCACCTGCATAAACCTTTCCGTCTCTTCCAGATGCGGGACATGCGCTGAGTCCGCAAATTGCACCCATCGGACTTTCGGGATATGCTGAAAGAAGGGCTCCACAACTATGTCGTGGGTTATATCGTACCTCCCGTTGATGAGCAATGTCGTCGCCTGAATATTGTGCAGCCGGTCAATCACGTTCCACGTCTTTAGATAGCCAGTGATATTAAATTCGTTTGGTCCATTCCTGTCCCTCAAGGATTGAAGATGCGTGACACAAATGGACTAAACACCTACATGGTTGAGTATACAGTCGGATCCTTTTCCATCCATGCAAGCCCATCCACCAGGGACTGAGGCACTGGGTCGAGCCTACACGAATGCCGCTTGTAAAATTCATTCATTGCAGCAATATACTCTGGATCCGTTGTTGTATCCGCTGCCTCGTGCTTATTCAACGCATCCTGGACTTCCTGCGGTAACCCCTTCCTCAAATCGTTTGCAGCCTTGACAAACAGCGCCATACTCGCTGGCGAGTCAGCAATCACCAGTTTCCCGAGGCCTTTTGGTTGGCGCGTTGCAAACTCTGATGCCAGCATCCCTCCCCAGCTCTGCCCAAGTACGTTATAGTTGTCGTGGATGTTTAAGTGGTTCAGGAGGTTGTGCAACTCGTCGACGAAGAGCTGCACAATCCAGAAGTCCACGTTTCCGTTCTTCTCTGGGAGATGCGTGGAGCGTCCATTGCCGATTTGATCATAAAGTATAACGGGTACGTCGAAGAGACGTGTAAGCTCGGAGAGGATGTCGAGGTATTCGTGGGTTGAACCGGGACCGCCGTGAAGTACTACAAGAGGTGGGTTGTATGGGTGGGGCAGAGTACCATACACCTTGTACCAAGTCTTGCAGGGCTTGACCGCATCAGGAACGTTGAAATCGGCTTCGCCTTCCCTAACTTTAAGTGACGACATGGTTTTCTATGGTTTTTGGCTTCTAAGCGATGGTGAGTGGGTTTCGTTAGGTGGATGATGATTCCAGTGGGCATTGACATTTATCTTATGATGGGTCTAGCATGAGAGAAGGTATTTATAACCGCATCATGATGGTGATATTCATCATGATGCGCCCATTCTGCTCGTTGATATAGTCAAGCTTGAGCTTTAGATTCCTCAAACTTCTTATGAGAACATTTGGTGTCGGCCACGCTGCAATGTTTGATCCGAATCAATCGCCATCCGATGTCCACGTCGCAGTTTGTCAGAGTGACATGAAACATTCTAAATGGCTTGGTATATCGTCCTTTTTGGTGGTACGTAGTTGGACCTAGATCAAGACTGTTATCCCATCTGGCATCAATCGTGGGGGGTGGCGCACATGGGTTCTGACTTTTTAAACACCCACAAATGATCTTTTTGCAGAGCTTGAATATATCGCGGCTTGTTCTTGCGATCAAGTATTGCCATCAATATCCTCTCGCGCATATTATACACGTCACTACATCAGACATTACATGCTTTCAAGTCACTAGTAAAGAGCTTTGACACCAACCTAATTTACTAGTACGCAGTGCTTGATGAGCCTACATCTATTGCCAAGGGTGCGATTCGGATCGATCCTACCATTCGCGAGGCATACATGTCTGTCCTAGGCGGACTCGGATGGCAAGCTGATCTGCATACTGCATCTTCCACAAGCAAGATAGGCTTATTTAGGAGAAAGTGTCCGAGAATATACCCGGTAACTGCAGTTCTGTGATTGTAGGTATCCTTATAGGCCAGCTGACTCCAACGCATGTCTTTTATTATCGAATGCCATTAATGCTTTGTGTTTAGGAATTGCAAGGTAATTTCACACTCGAGTCCGACATAACTGCACTGCAGCACATTGCACTAGATGCAATAGAACGGTCGGAGATGCTCCGGCTAACATGTGTTGTCATAACTTCTTTGATTACGATGCGGTCATTATATTCTAGAGCCAAAGCAGGTATGTTTATTCATTCCGTAGACAGGGAAATAATCCCCTTTGCAAGTGCATGGCGTCATCCTGCTAAGCCAACGACAGTACAATCGGCAGGAGAATATCTAATCTGATAGTTCCTTTTCCTTCACACCATATTTTGCAGCGTCGGTGCCATGATGTTGATGGTTGACGAAGTTGAACCTAGAATAATTACTATGAGTCTGGGACTGCACATTATGGTAACATATGTTCGTACATGGGGAATGCGTCTGCAAAAATTCAAGGATTTAGCAGGAAAGACGCTGATTAACATATTCCAGTGATACTCACGGAATTTCAACTGAGACCATGCAGAGTTTCTGTATGCAGTGCCCTGTACCCACTCTGGCTGGCTGGATGTACCATACAAAGGCTTACCCTCAGCTGCCCTTTGGGAAAGCTCGGCCAAATCCAAGTCCTCCTCTCGTTTGTTCTCTGACCAGCCCCAGAATCGGACTGTCAAAAAAACAATGAGACTGCTCACGTCTTGCACAACCAGAGTAACTCACAACTTGAGCGTTGGTATGCCAGCAAGAAACCACCAACGAAGCCAAGGAAACCTCCGAGCCGAAAGCTGGTCCGCAGACGAACTTTTGCAGGGTCAGCCATATCTGAGGACAAGGATAAATTCATATAAGCCTGATACAAAGCGTTGTGACTGAAACAGGGATGCATACCCCAGAAATACAAAGCAGCCGGGAATGCGGCTGTTCCTGCAGCCCAGGTTGCATAGTCTGACGAACGGAAATAACGCACAACACGGAAAGCGTGTGGGTCAGCGTCGATGAGCGGGTATGGTGTCGTGACGACCTTGTTCGGCATGGCGACAAATGTTGACAAAAGAATGAACTGCTGTCGTCGTTGTGTGCAGGAAGACAAAGTTACGGTTCGTCGCGAACAATGACCGGCCCTAAACCGGGATGTGCCAGGCCTGCTCACCAAGTCAGTCCTGTGATTATAACTTGTCCTCAACGTCCTCTGTTCTCTGTTTCTAGTCGCTGATCGTCCGTTCTACAACGAGCGCAAAGCGGCCTGCAATTCCTTAACTCGCTGGCACGTCTATAGAATCATTGAGGGAGAGTGAACGTGGACAGACGGAATGACCGTCGGGCGAAGAGGACTGCCCATTCATCTCCTTACGCTCGACCAACAAAGCCAGTCCCAACGAAAAAATCGATGAGCACATGATTCATGTTATTGTCTTCTACCTGAAACTTTGCCTGACATTGTATGTCTAAGCTATGGAGCATTTCCGGTTTAATGAGCTTCTTACGATTCAGTGGCACCGAGGAGGATGATCGAACTGAGGATCTGGTGCGCTCAGGTGCCTCGTCCTCCAATAACGATGAGGACGAGGATTTGCAGGTTCAGGAACAGGAGGGGCCCTCATATTCCCGCTCGTCAAGTTCAACTTGATCGGAACTCTGCGCCTGAATTTGTACTTCCTCTTCCTCCTGGTGATGTACCGCCAGGGCACGAGGTTTGTAGTCCATTAAGTATTGTCTGGTCTGGTAACTTTGATTCACGAAGAGTAGCCTTCCCAGGAACTAGTTTACCCGCCTGCTTGGGATGCCCAACAACCAGGACCTTCCAATGGGGCATCCCAACCCATCACTCCCGCACGACAGCCTTTCTACAGTTTAAATACACCACCTCGCCAAACCAATGTTCCCCTCTATCTGCAGCAAAGTCCGTCACTTGCTAAGAACCTCGAGCCTGTCACTCGATTCCTTGTCGAAAAAGCAGGGCGGCCTCTTAACGAATTCGAGGCAGCTGGCATAGTGGACTACATTCAAAAGAACGTACAAGGTACGAATTTCCTGCTCCCAGCATGCTGTGTAAGCATGTATCTATGCTCAAACAGCAGACAAGCCGGAACCCTTCCGATTCTCGACATCTCCGTCGCGTGGATCCCCTCCTAACCTTGGGCTCGGGACATCAAATAGTGTATCAAGTGATACACACGCTCCGAAAAAGATACTTTCACGCAATCCCAATGGCGTATTACGCTGGCAGGGTGCGGGTAGCGCATGCCCACGAAACCGTTATCGATCGCCTGGGTTTGGATCTCGGCCTCAAGGCCCTCGTATCGAGCTATCTCCCATACGGACACCTTCTGCAACTGATGCAAAACGTCGCCGTGTGGGCAATGAAGCCGAGTCTTCGACTGCACAGAAATCTGCGCCCCCATCGTCGATGTCTAGCATCGGTTTTCCGACCTCAAACACTACTTCTCCAACCCGTTCTACACCTGCAATCAATGAGAAAACTCTAGTTCCACCAGTGTATGCACCGACATTGGCTCCGGCAGCTGTTGTTACGCCAAAGGTGAACGGAGCAGCTACGCCTCGTTTACGCACTGCGGGTCTTTCTGTAAAACCCACGACCCCGGTTGTACCCTCACCTTTACGACAAACGTGGAAGCAGAATGATTCACCGCCACAACCTCCAGCACGACCCACGCGTGCTGCAAACTATATGACGGGGCTCATTAAGGAAGTCACCCCCCTCAAGAAACCTGACGTGGCGAACCCGTACCAGACTGCGAATCCTGTAAAGATGCCCACTAGGAGCCTCCCACGAGACGCTTGCGCCCGCCAGCAGAGAAAAAAGAGAAACAGCAGAAGGAGCCAGAAGTCACCGCGCAGGCGATTATTGAAGCCATAGTGCCGAAGGTCAGTGGGGAAACTGTGATTCAAGTTTAGGGGCTGGACTGATGTTGATAATAGGGAAGTAAGCGCGCAAGGCCTCCGCCAGATATGGAGAGGCCAGAGAAACCGACTCGCGAAGCTCAGGACACATATATCCCGAAGACCAATGGTCATAGCGCAAAGCCAATGGTTACTGCCGGAGAAGTCTCAGACCAGGACGAAAGTCCTACAAAGAAGCAAAAGACCGCGAAACCTACTCCCGTCGTGCTTTCCGTGGAAGAGGCGGAGGGTGTTGAGATGGTTCAGCACAAATCTTCAGTCTTTACGCGGCCTGCCGAGATTGTCGTCGAAGATACCCCTTCGTCACTCACTACGCCGAGCCCTACACCGTTCTCGCATACTCCATCTCTGGCCTTGCCGATGAAGACTGCATTTGGAGCCAAACCAATGTCTGAGGTGCCCGCTACCGAATTCATTCACCGCCAAGAGATAACGAATTGAACCTTGCGGAAGAGGAATATCCATCATGGGTGGCACTGCATGTATAGTGTATTTCATTGCCACTCGTCTTGGAAACAGAAGCCTACTTCTTGACAACAAAAACGGCAAACGTATGGAGACTGCAGGTCGTGTGCCGAAATGCAGGGAACTGAGCAAACGACATCAACGAATAAGTGATCATCACCGGAAGTGCAGGCAACTCACGGCGCTCCTCAGTAAACCTGATGGGAGGTTTTTCAAAGACGGCTGCGTCGAAGCTTCGGAGGCCAAGACCCATTGCGGTGGTGCTTTATGAGGCTTGAGAGGCGCATTTGCAGGCTGCGTGGGGTATTACCTGGCAGAGTATGGTTCGGGTAAGCTGGCAGTGGGTGAGCGTGGGGGAAGGGGTTATACACATAGGTGTCACCCAGCGCACCCATCAACTTGCTGCTACCTCCCATACCCGTACCCACCATTCCTGCGCCTGCCCCCATCCCCACACTCATGTTGTGCGAGGCGACAGGTTGAGTGGTACTGTCTGGTGCTAGAATTGGCGAAGGCGAAGGCGTAGGGCAGCGTGAAACGCCCGGAGACGCAGAGGGTGCCGAAGCACTCGGGGGCTCGGTGAGGGAGGAGCGCTGGAGTGTGCCAACTCAATAGAATAGACAGCCTGTTGCTCTAGTACCGGAACAATGCTTCTATGGACAAATATGTAATCCTATGTAGTATGTCCATGTTATCGATGTTAAAGCGTAAGTTTGGAATGAGCATCAGAAAAATTCGGTCGAGTACTATGACAAAGGGAGAACGGTGATACCTTTGAGATTCTAGTCTGACTCTGAGTCCCAGTTGCTAGAATCCAACTCTGAGCCAGTTCCTCTCAAACCTCCAGCAGACTTGAGTGCCCAGCCAGGCTCTTTGTTTTCCAAGACTTGGAAGGAGGAGTGAGGGAAGAACCAAACGTTAGATACTCGTCCTGGTGTAATGCCATCTTCAGTAATGCCAGGGAGTGGCTTCCACGGTCCTATCCCATGGTAGAGGGCTCCACCCATGAGAATTATGACATCCCGAGGACGGTATCTAGAACGAATGAGTCCAATAAACTATATACAAAGTGAAAGGCTTACAAGAGTTTGAGCTTAAGATCGGTTATGTAACATTCTCCGCCTGTAAATTTACCCATGTTGAAGATGATAGATGGACCCGCATCTAAGCCGTCCTGATGGGGCATCACCTGCAGTTTCCACACCAGGACTCTTCCAAGGAGGGGCCCTGGATCAGTTACCGTCCAACGGCCGGCCAGGAAGGCAGCTTCATATTTGGTGTAGAAAGCCGGAAATGATACCCGGAACATTTCTCCCAACAGAATGGCCAACTCCTGGGTATCATCAAAATATGCTTGGACATGTAGGGCTCCACTAGCGTTAGAGACCATGTCAGCTGAGGGATGAAGTCCGTGCTAGAAAATGTGTAAGTAATATAGAGGCAGAATAGATTATACATACGACGGTAGGATCACTGCCCTGATCTGGCCATGCATGTACTAGGTGTCTGGTACCGGTGCGCTCAGATGCAAGCCTAAGGTGCGGTCTTCATAGACGTATTCAGCACCCGCATAGATGAAGCTCCTACATATGCCATCTTCACGTAGGTCTTCCGAGTCCTTGGTGCTGTCAACCTTAACGTATCGCAGGAGGTGGTCTTCCTTGTCATGGCGTCCATCCCGGGGGCTTTTATGGACATCTATGTGGTGGTGGAGGGTTTGTGTGGCCACTGCGGTCTTGGCAAGCACGCTATCCTATCCTCTGCAGTAAGTTGCCTGTCATCTAACAGAATTACTGAAAACTCACCTTGATACCATCAAAGTATACCGTTTCACCCTCTTGAGCTGCCCGATCTAAATCATCAGAGGATCTTCCCATAGACGAAGGAGCTTTGGGCCCAGGAATGTAGTAATTGTAAGCAAAGTGGCTCTGTAAGATTGGTGATTAAAACTATAAGTCATTTCTTGCCGATGTCAACTCACCAATTTTGGAGAAGGCCCAGCACGCCTTCGGGCAAAATAAGCCACCAAGGGCTGATCATGTTCATCGAGGAATATCCCCGAAGCTCCGTCACTTTCCCAGGTAGACATCTCTCGCATAGTACGTTCAGCCATGCCCTTGGCTGTCACGGTATTCTTGGGGCCCCGTATGAAGTCTTCGAGCCAGACACCCTTCATATGGTAGGTGGGAACATTGTCTTTCCAACGTTTTGCATCGTAAGCAGCATCTCGGCGGAACCGCTTGGCCCATTGATTGTTGGAGAGAGTTCGGTCATGGATGACTGGGTCTAGGAGGCGGGAATCTGGGGCAAGGGATGGCAGTAGTTTTATTCAATAATGTCTTGTCTGTGCCGGTAAGCTTGGCAGCTGCTTGCGACACCAAAATTGGGTCTGTTACAACTGCGGTAGACATGGTAGGGTGTAGGGAGGAGAAACGATCAGTAACTTGAATGTCTCCAAGCTGAAATATAAAGCTACGGAGTGAAACGGCAGGTGCTTGATCCACGAGGCAGCAAATAAAAATGCTGGTACCAACTAGTGCTGCCGTGGTCCGGTTCGGTCCGGTAGTAGAAGTACTTGTACTGATAGCTACATATCCAACGAAGCTGCAGCAGAAAGGTGCCTGTTCCTATACGCTCCCGTGTGATGCGTGCAAAAGAGGTGACGCAGTATCGACGTGCTGAATTGCTGTAATCAATGTCCGAGCTCCACCATGCCGTTCCCAAAACCACGAACACCATGCGCAAACGCCCAGCACACGTCAGCAACTGCTGACGTGGCTCAGACGAATACGGACGATGGACGAGAGCAGGAGAAGGGAAGAAGACAAGGAGGAGAACGAGATAGAGGAGATGGACGATCGGTAGCACTCGAGTGCTTCGATTCTGCACGCCTGGAAGCAAGTAGACAGGTGTTGCGTTGAAGGAGATGGAGGGGCATCACACTGAGGTGTGGAGATTGGCAGTATCACGAGATGGGCAATTGGTAGCAAGCGGTGATGCTGACGAGGAGGTCATCGTCTGGCATGGAGAAACTGGAGAATCACTCACCCAATCCATTAAAGCCCATTCTAACAGGATCGACTCACTGGATTTTTCTCCCAATGGAACAGCGCTGGCCAGCACCATTTTCCTCGATAAACGACGGATGGTTATGGACTCGAACGTGTGTTGAAGAAGATGGAGGGGCATCGTAATGCCGTGCAGGCATTGGCAGTATCACGAAACGGACAATTGATAGCAAGCAGTGATAGAGGCGGAGAGGTCATCGTCCAAAATTGATCTGCAGGCTTGTCACATCTAAAAAGATATTAGCCTAAGAATAGAAATAGTGGCCCTAACGTACCAGTGACACGAATTCTATCAATATAATCTGGAATGATGCCTCATCACCAAACTCTTTCCAGTCTGCTTGTTTCTGCGACGTAGCGGAGAAGGTGGGGGACATGCTTTGGGTGGCTGAGGAGGGAACGGAGATTGTTACTATAAGGATTCCTAAGTTTTGAAATCGTACCTGAGTGGAATAGAATGAAGCCATGGCGTGAAACAGAATAGGGAAGAGAGAGAGACTAATGCAATGCTCGTAGTGAGAACAGGGCTCCCACGTCTTGCGGTTCGGGGAAGGTTCGAACTTGGCAACACAGAACCGTTCGGGCAATGGTGGACCGCGAACCTCACTCAGGTCCTGTCCGCCCCAATTCTTGGACCACGGACCGAACCAAGGAAGAACCTGACCGTTGGTCAGGTTCGGACCGTGGTTCTGGACCGAACCACAGCAGCACTAGTACCAACGACTTGGCTACAGCACTACACCCTTTTACATATCCATATCAGACACGCGCTGCTCAGTATACCCTGAATATGTAAAGTGGTGTCTTACCTGGAGGTGTACTGATCAATAGCAGAGTCGTGGACCCATGTATACAGCAGGATTGAATGTGAATGGTGGAACACGCCTTGAAGGGCGATGAACTGTGGGCACACCAGATCTCACACAGATCTCGATTCGCACCACAGCTCAAGCGCTCGTCCTCAAGGACTTGAAGCGATGAAAACGGTTGTAGGTTGCAGACCGTTGTAGTAATGCCGAGGTCACAAGTGTGACGGGCATCGTGAAAATGCTGCGGCAACTGCCGCGACCAACTGCTGCGCTGCTCCAAATAGTGAGCGCTTGAGCGCTGAGTGCGCATCAATTACACTTACTACTAGTCACTGGAACCTCCCAAATCCTTGTCCTCCAAACGAATCATGGAGTCGAGCGTGCGCCCACTCCTTACGCTCACAAAGTCACGGTCAGACGGTATTATCACAAGTACTTCTGGCAGTGTTCTGCCGGTCATGGTGAACCACGATCGATCGGACTTTCATCCACCATACGATTCCGATCTCTCACCTTCTGGATTTAGCTTCTTTTCTTGGTTCCAGACTTCGAGTATGTCAGACGGTGCTTGTAGCTCTACCCTCCTCACTTAGTAACTGCCTTTGGTGTAGCTGGGTGGCGAACGGTGTAAATAGGTGGAGCTCGCACGCCTCCATCACCGAATGATGTCTTCTTGCTTGTGAATTTGTCGTTCTGAACATCTGCACACATGTCATTTTCTACCTATCTGCTTTCATTCAATCTGGTATGTGTCTTTCACTTTGGCTATCCTTTCCGCTTTGACCATTCTTCAGAGCTTCGCTCCTTTGATTCTGCCCTGGGATACAAGGGCATCGCATATGCTTCGGTAAGTGTCCTCCAGTCCTTGTATTCCTTGCATTCTGACCTTTTTTGGAGTCTTAAGTGCACCAATACCACGGACTTTCACCATCTACGGTCCCAAGGCTCACGTTCTCTTTACGAAGTTCTATCCTGTATTGTAGAAGTGAGGGTCCTGCAAAGGATGAATCGATGACAGATCGGACATCTATAAGAATCCATCACTTGCTTGCAAGGTCACATGCCAACCCGTTAATTCTGCGAATCGTCCCAAATAACGGCATTTTCCGCGTTCTCTGTTCGTAACATTTGCTACGATTGTGAGCAGTCTCTGTCCTTCCAAAATACTGTTTCAACTGCGCTCGTTCCCTTCGTCTTTCCAATTACAAACGAAAGCAAGGTCATCGCCGGCGACGGCGCCTAGTTGCTAACTGATATTTATTATAATATTCGGATGCTGTGGTGGAAAATCACGTGCGTATTTTGTGCTGTTTGCCACGCTCCATCCCGAAAGACCTTGCTCCGCAAGGTAACTGTAATCTAACCACCAAGTGCTCGCCACCACACCCCTTACCTTATAATGACTTTTGGCGAGATTGCCCACTACGTGACCCAGCCTATGGGCTGGCCTGAACCAGTGCGCGGTGTTGCTTCCTTGTTGTCCCCGTTCCACTGTCCCGACAAGCCAAGTAATGAGCGTCTTGATAGTGCGTCAGCCTCGACATTCTCGGAGCCACTCACTTCCAATGAAGTACCTGCACCTGGATCATACACTGCAAAGGATTTTGACATCTTAATTCATTCAACAGCCGTAGGGTTGTGTAGACTTGCTGAGCTTCCTCGCTACGGCGGCGAGAGACCTACTGTTCCTCTTTGGTCTCAGCTTGTCCATGCATTGGCAAACACACTGTCCTCAGATGTTCTGATTATGTGAGTGATATTATCATTGCGCATTAAACCAGGATTCGAATCTCCCGACAGTGAAGATGCACCGTTCATCATGCCACGGGCTCAGAACGCCAGTCAGCCGTCAAATCTCATTGACGGACGTGCGACTCTTCTTGCTGCCCATACCATCTTTCCTGCACCTAGAAATTATTCAGATACCTCCATGACTAGCTTGCGAAACGAGCAAGATGAGGATGAATCGATGCATTCTGCAGACTCAGACTCTTGCAATGGTTCAGTCGATTCACTCGACCTGCCCTTGCAAGCTCACATGCTTCCGGGTCGAGGGAGATGCCTTTTGGCTGTGGTGCCAATCTTACTAGTCGCCGACTCCCGGAATATCGTTCCCCTACTTTGCAGTGCTCTTTACCAGAGACGTGTGTGGGGGATTTGTCAGCCTGTGGTAGGCCTGTGCTGTTCCAGCACGGGTACGATTGTCACGGCAATCTTCGGGTGGCTCGACTCCGATCAATCAGAGGAATGCCCCATGGTAAGTCCCAAATCAATGCATATTTTTCCATATTGACCCTTCCTGAAGCCTACACCGCACCTCGCTTTAGCAGCCGATGTTGGCTTAGATCCCTCCATGGGTGTGTTTGATTTCGCAGACGCCCACTCTTCCATCAGCCTTGCGCAATTTGTTTTGAGATTGCGTACACATTCTCAAGATATCAAGGGCGCCATATCGATAGAAGCAGTCAATTCTCTGAGTCCGTTGCGCTGGAGATCCGATTTACCTGATTTTGAAACTCAATTTGGGGGGCAGTCGGATGAACGAGTGGTATCCTGGATCCACGAGGTACACGTGCAGACCAGTTCCAGGTATGGATTTCTATATTTAATGCCAAGTCCGAATCATAATGGTCTTTCAGTGAGACGTCATCCTCATCTACCCCTCGTACTCCATCCCCGCTCTTGGACACTGCACTTGTATCATACGATACCATGGCTTCTGACCTTTCTATGATCTCCGAGGATGAACCAGTCGATGTTCCAAAGTGATTCGACCTATGTTGCACCTATCAACACACAACTAACTTGATGCTTTAGGCTGTTCTATGGGACCCACTTAAAGAACACGACACGGTAAGTTTGCTTCAGTTACTTGATTCATGATCTTATCGTCTCTGCAGAGGCGGGGGGTCACAACCATCGGGTTCTTTGAAGAGGCACGGTCGATTACCAGCAAAGGCTAAGGGTTCTACCTCATTGTGTTCTGAATCATATTTAAACTCACGGCATGGAGCCTGCTTCTTGTCCGACTACTGTTCAATGACCATTCCTTGTCTCCAGAATGGCTGCTTTGCCTGACAACGGCCTTGTTGACGGGCTGTCTATGTCCAACTGGCTGTTTGAACGCCGTGCGTTTACAGTTGGTCGTATTCCAATCACCTCCAAGGAGCTGGAGAAGACCGCCGGAATCAATGAAATGATTGAAAAGTATGATAAAATGACGGTGTTTTGCTGGTCAGATGCCATCAAAGCCGAAGTGAGTCCGCATGGTTTCTCTTACTACCAATCCTCATTACATCACACGCAGCTCTCGAGCGCTGCCCTTGATAGCTGTCTGTTGGATATGAGGGCAGAACTATGCGCCACGAATCACCGTCCTAGCTCCCAGTCCAACACGATTGTTGTCCACTTGTCTGAGGATATCCAGTTCATTTCGTCCCGGATTTCAGCATTGTTGCATGCTGTACAAGGCGCCCGCATCTGTGATACTGTCGCAAAATTGTATGGCGCCAACGAAGCTGATCGGCGCCATGAATGGGATTCGTTACTCATGAATTTTTATCAAACTACTGCCGAGCAAGGAGATGTGTTGTGTGTAGTCCCTAAGTCCAGCTATTTACATTCTGATTGTTCATTTAGGTTAGAGCGACCGTTGAATTTGGCTCGTAATTTTGGCGCTGACGACACTTTCTCCTCAACACAAGCCATTGAGGCTGTTGATGAATACACGCGCCTATGTCTTGACCAATACCAGAGTGTGGGTAGCAACGATAACTCTTTCAAGCAGGCCATAGCAGCGCGAGATCAGGCCAACAAATTCGCCGATGATATCAAACGCTGCAAGGTGCTTACTGAAGTGATTGGGTCTCACTCCTCTAAGGATCCGGTCACTGGAAAATGCAACGCCATCCTCGTCATTCCATGTCCTGGTGCTGCTACTACGGTGCTCCAGCGCATATGCGGTACTATCGAGCCAGAAAAGTTCTCAAAATCTTTCATGCTAGTGCAGGGTCCAAAGGCGGATAAGCTCGATGCGAGTACATCCCAGAGCGTTGGTCACAGCCAAAAGATCACGTCCATGGAAACCAAACGCATCGATGACCATGCTCAGTTGCAGAACCCATTTCATTGTTCTCCCGATGACGATAAAGCACCGCAGGAAGAAAAAATAACAGATATGGATATCTATAGTGATGAACCTAGGAAGCAAGACCTATTTCTCCCAGTGCTGTTGGCCGAGTACAAGAAAAGAGACCAGTCAAGCATTTCAACAGCTATGAACCAGACGAAGACCTTCCTGGTTTCGGCAGTGACCTTCCTCTCTGAGCTCGGTATCACAGACCACCCTGTGTTCGGGCTCGTTGTCAATGGCGCACTTGGCGCGATTACGATGGCGTGGAAGAAAAACAATGTATGTGCTCATCTGTTACTATCTCCGAATGAGCTCACGAGCGATGCAGCAAATCTACATAATGGAACGCAATGTCCGGCACTACGACATCAGGGACCCTTTTCAGGCACTGCAGTTCGTCTCTGTTCTGCCGCGCCTCGCACGTCACGGCCTGCACCTCCGCTGTTTGTTAGAGAAGCAGCTCGAGATTATACATGTGAACCAAGTTCACTCTGAGTTGCAGTGGTCCAAGTTGTCACAACGGGAAGACGAAAGATCAGCGGCTGCGAGGACAAGATTAGAGCAAGGGGCCGCACAGGAGGTGGTGCAGAAAGGAAGTAGAGATTGAAAATCAAGTTATTATATGAGATGCTGGCAGTGTCTGTCCATGCATCAGTTCCATGAGAATATCTTCAATTCGCCAGAACTACTCATTTGGCGTGACAAAGACAGGCTGAGTGTTTTTCTGTGCTGGAGGGCGCAAGCGCCTCGTGGGAGGCTTCCTAGTGGGCATCTTTACAGGATTCGCAGTCTGGTACGGGTTCGCCACGTCAGGTTTCTTGAGGGGGGTGACTAGGCTCGTGACCAGCCTGGCGTATACTACCACGGTTGCACAAGTGGTGTAGCCATCAATAAATTCTCACCATCCCCAATTAACGCATAGTCAGACTGGTTACGAGTCTAGTTTCACGCGCCGCACGAGCGCTGCCACATTGAAAGCTTCCAAGCTGACCCCATAATATTTTCCCATAGAGCGACCTGGCTACAAAGGAATATTATTAGTATTCGCGCCTCTCTGTTTCTTTAGTATCACGGAGACATGTTGTCCTGAATACTCATAATAGCCGCAGCACATGCTTCAACCCTCCACATCCAACTTTCCACGTCCATCATATCCCTAACCTCCCCCTTCACCCGCAGCTCTTTACGCACTCCAAACCGCCATTATTAGTACGCGTGCAACAACGTCCAAGACTCCAGTGACCCCAGGAGAAGTCAACGCAGCGGTCCTTGTTCCGTTGTGTAACGTCGACGGTGTACCCGGCGTGCTACTCGAACTGCGAGGCGGTAAACTGAGGTCCCATGCTGGCGAAGTCAGGTATATTCAACCCCCCAAATGTCAAGCATCTCGGCGCTCATGATCACTAGTTTCCCTGGTGGAAGGGTCGACCCAGTGAGTCTATTCAGAACCTGTGTACTTCCTCATCATACCCGTAGGCAGATGCATCGTTTCTTGCTGCTGCGCTCAGAGAAACACAAGAAGAAGTAGGTCTAGATCATCGGCAGATCGACATTCTTGGCCAATTTGGCCCGCCTGAGCGAAGTCTCATGGGTCTCAGAGTATGGCTCTATGTCGTACGTTTATTCTACTCACTAGTTTTGTTTTGACTTGAATTCGGTGCGCAGGGCTTCGTATACCCACGTGGCAGTCATGGCACAGATACCAGATCCCTGATGATCCCTTACCCTCCATCTCGCTTTCCTCACTCACCATATCTCAGGCCGAGGTAGCGACCGTTTCCCCTCTCCGCATTTACATCCCCTGCGCGTATCAGGCCTGACATGTCCCGCGCTACCAGCCCATATTAGGCCATTGATGTCTTTGACCTTGTGGAGGGGTTCGAGGGAGTAAACGATCCATCGGGACACTCGGAAGTGAGTGGTGGGAAGGAGGGACGTTTAGAAGTATGGGGTTTGACAGGTTGGTACGTGATATTGCTCATGCGAATTTTAAAGGTATACACTTGAATAAAAGATTATCATGTGGTGATATATGCGGGGGTCTTTGAGATCATCCTTGGAAAACACATTGTCTTGTGTTCATTCAGAAGCACCATTCAATGACCAGCCGCAAGCTGAAACACGGGCACTTTCGTTTTACGTCCGACCTACGGTGGACGACAACTGCCTTACATGTGAGCAATGAAATACCTGTGCCATCCTGTACATGAAGCACCACCACCATCTTGTGTGCCTCCCCACGCCTTCTTGTAGTGGAATGGCACAACAGGACACGCAGTAATGGCATTCTTCGTATCAGCGCCGGCAGAACTCTTAATGTTGGGGGACAGATCACGAGGTGAATGTGTTCACATGGCTTGGAGCTCCACGGTTGAGTCGAGGATAGTTGCCACGCGTAAAGGTGTTGGCCATCGACAGGAGATCTTAAGTACGTGAGCTGCTACCTGTTGGGTCCCCGGGTAGTGGTAAGGTAGGTGCCAGATGTGTATTGTATGTGGACCAGGTCATCATGAGTAGCATCGATTCAACAAGATGAAACATTTGTAGATATGTACGATATCGGAATGCATGACAGATTGAGACAACAAGCATAATATTCGTGCCCTTAATAGTTAACATCTTCCTGAATGAGCGCAATAGCTTTCGCAGAGCGAGGCTTAATACAGCACTTGAAGGGTTTGGGATGGCTGGGACTACGTATTCAAACTAGCACCGCGAACGCGATAGGATACAACACATACCTGATCGCGCCTGATGAGGGGTTAACCTCAGGGGTGTGCTCAACGCCGTTCTCGACGATCTTGGAAATATCAAACACGGCGAGCGACATCACGGTAGACAGCCAGACGGAAGCATCAGCGAGGTGGAGGCCTGTACATCAAAAGCAAGCAAATATCACAATACTGTTTTATTGAGGGTACTTCTGCATACCAGGGCAGATCCTGCGGAGCAGAAAGTTAGCATTCCACTCCAAATCAAGTCCATGCGTACCGTCTACCAAAGCCGAAGCAGATCGTGCGAGGCTCGCGTTCGGGATCATTTCCGTCATTGTCTAAGAAGCGTTCAGGCTTGAATTGCGAGGGGTTAGCATATCTCTGAGGGTCATTGAGCATGAACCTGGCATGCAATTGTATCTATCATGTTGAATCCAGAAAAATGCGAGCACTAACCAGATGTTAGGTATGATCAAGGATCCTTTCGGGATGTAATACCCGTCATAGATATCGTCCTCAGAGACACAGTGGGGGATCCCTGTCTTTAGGCGATTGATACCGCTCGGCAACGAAAAGAATACAATAAACACATACCTATAGGGACGACAACATTCCAGCGCAGGGCTTCCTTCACAAGGGCCTCGATATAGGGGAGGGAGTTGCGGTCTGCAAAAGAGGGAAGACGATCAGTGCCAACAACAGCATCTATTTCAGCCTGAGCCTTCTTCTGCACATCAGGGAACAATGTCATCGCCAGGAAAATCGAATATATTGTAGAAACTGTCTGTGGAGACAGATGTTAGTCTCAAAATATGATAATCAATCTGTAATATAAAGGGAAGAGCTAACCGTGTCGGCGCCACCGGTGTATAGGGATACAGCAGACCATTTCACCATGTTATCCTCTTCCGCAGACAAAGTTCGGCCTTTCAACAGATTTGAGGTGAAAGATACTGGGGCAACTCCGGCAGCCTGTGATGTGTTCAACTCGCGATCGCCGAACTGTATATGTTGGTTACCATCTGATCCTTGACGAATTTGTGTGGTGCTTCAACCAACTCTTCGAGGGTCTGGCGCCATTCACGGGCTAAGCGTTTAAATCCAGCACCAGGAAACCACTCGGGAACCTTGGCCACTAGAGATAGTCAAGTTACTGCAAATGTCAGAATGTCGTAATCTTACGCCATGGCATGATGTCAACCATGAAGGCACCAGTATCGGTGGACCGCGATAATTGGTCCATAGCGTGGTCTGCAAGGTCGACGAAGTGATCATTGTTCTCCTTCACCTCATATCCATGAGAGATTCGCAGAATGATAGCGCCAGCAGTGCTATACAAAATCAAGGCCCAATTCATGCAATGACAAATACCACATACTGTCGAATATGTGCTTGCAGTTGCTCGGGTTTCACAAACACACGCTTCAGGAACCGGCGGGTCTCAATCTCCTCGATCTGTTCGTAGACAGCCATAGCAGCGCGACTGCCAATTATGCGGTGAATGTTCTTGCGGTAATAGCGAAAACGGTCACCATAAGAGAGAAGACCCATACAGTACTTCCAGCCAACAAGTTCACCACCCATTGTAAGAACCGGACGGTCAGAGTACACAGCGCTTTTTTTGTCTAGCAATGCCATCGCTGCCTCGACAGAATTCAGCACAGTGATGTGCCGACCTAGAACTTCGACATGCGAGATGTCACCTGCAAACCACTGTGTAATTGAAATATATCGTGTTGGGAAACATGAGGCACACCATATTTTTTGCGCCACTTGGCAAAGGTGAGCCAAGCCCTGTTGTGGGGCATGTCTGCGACGTTCCCAATGAGAGGCCACCCCGGAGGTCCAGGGGGATATGGTGCAGGGTTCTTTCTGAATGCCTGCTTGACCAGATACACTCCGGCACCAGCAAGACATAGGTCCAGCCAAGTGATATTGGTGAATATCAGCATGCTAGCTGAGGAAGAGCAAAAGATCGTGTAGTGAGCGATGAGTCCGAGTCAGATGACGAATACAAATCCCGCTCTCCACCCTAGAAAATGAGGGAACGATGCAAAGTTCAAGAAGGTGATTGATGGACGGTCAAAGAGCAATATGAATGTTGTGGTGGCCCTGGAATATTTATGTTATCGCAGGCGGAATTTAGCGAGGAAAGATACGATGTAATCGTAGGCTGCGGCTGATAGCGTTAATGAAAAGACACGGAGACAGTAACTATAGGCCTACATATAGGAAAGGGTCCAAACCGATTTGGGAGGATGGGATTATATTATAAGATGACGTAAGTAGTCAAGCGCCGAAAGGTAGTGACACTGAAATTTAAAGCTTGTGTTTCAGTATCGCGGACAGGATTTCTGTAGATGATAGAAACTCTACTAAGCCAGTGTACTTACAGATGGATGACGCACGTGCCTTAGCCTCTCAAATGAGCGACGACAACAAGAAACGAAGACCATGTGTACATGTGAGATACCGCACTCAGGACGAGAAGTTGTTCGCGAGCTGTTGGGGAAGTAGTTCAGGGTGGATTTGCGCAGAGCCTCGAACGGAAGAAGAGCATAATATGGGCAGGAGCCAGGTACGCTGATCAGGCTCGTTAGGTAGACCGTGAACGCTTTTATGACATACCAGAATGTGTATTGTAAATCATCATTTCGATGGCAATGTCGCTACGATATCTCGATACAGTCTTTGCCCTGTGATATAGAATACAAATCATGTGATGGATCTAAGTGTCAGATGTGAGATCGGCCACTCACAGCGAATAAATCCCTCCTTATCCGTTTCGTAATGAACATCCTGCTAAATAAGCGCAATGGCTTTCGCAGAGCGAGGCTTGCTAGAGCACTTGAAGTGTTTTTGAAAGTGTATTTATCTAGATGAGAACATGATGAAGAGTCAAGCTCGGAGGTGATCTCAACACCGTTCTCGACGACCTTGGAGATGCAAGAAGAACAGCGAGTAATATTACAGTAGATATACAGGTCGAGGCATCGGCGAGATGAACTCCTATCCAAAACAAAACAAGCGAGTCAGAGGACTATGTTGATTGACACCTTCTGGGCTGGTCATACCTGGGCAAATACTGCGGGACATTTGGCTCGAAAATAATCCCAGGGTCACCGTCTCCCAAAGCCAAACCAGATATTGCGAGGGTCAGTCTCAGGTTCCTCAGTTCCACCCTCAGCCAAGAAGTGTCCAGGGTTGAATTGCGAGGGGCCAGCATATGTCCGCGAGTCATCGGCCATGAACATGGCATACCAATCTATGATGTCGATTCCAGACAAATAAATACGAGCACCAATCAGATGTTAGGTATGATCAAGATCCTTTCGGAATGTAGTACCATCATGGATATTGTCCTCGGTGACGCAATAGGGGATAACCAGATCGATACCGCTCGGCAATTAAAGAATGCGATGTTACACTCGAACTTTGCGTAGTGCTTCATTATATTATTGGAACCATTGGAGTCAACCTATTGGAGCTGATAGGTGACTGGGCACGGGAGAAGAGTACGGTTGAGTCGAGGATGGTTGCCATGCATAAAGGTGTTGGCCATCGACAGGAGATCTTAAGTACGTGAGCCTGCTCCTTGTTGGGTCCCCGGGAGGTGCCATCAAGGTGCCAGATATGTGTGTATTATATGTGGACCAGGTCATCATGAGTAGCATCGATACAACAAGATATGTATGATATCGGAATGCATGACAAACAAGGATAATCTTCGTGGCCTTAATAGTTAACATCCTCCTGAATGAGTGCAATAGCTTTCGCAGAGCGAGGCTTAATACAGCACTTGAAGGGTTTGGGATGGCTGGGAGTACGTCTATCCAAACTAGCACCGCGAATACGATAGGATGCACGACATACCTGATCGTGCCTGATGAGGAGTCAACCTCAGGGGTGTGCTCAACGCCGTTCTCGACGATCTTGGAAATATCAAACACAGCGAGTGACATCACCGTAGACAACCAGATGGAAGCATCAGCGAGGTGGAGACCTGTACATCAAAAGCAAGCAAACATCACAATAGTGTCTTATTGAGGGTACTTCTGTGAGTTGGGCATACCGGGGCAGATACTGCGGAACAGAAAGTCAGCATTCCACTCAAAATCAACTCCATGGCATCGTACCGTCTACCAAAGCCGAAGCAGATCGTGCGAGGCTCGCGTTCGGGATCATTTCCGTCGTTGTCTAAGAAGCGTTCAGGCTTGAATTGCGAGGGGTTAGCATATCTCTGCGGATCATTGAGCATGAACCTGGCATGCAATTCTAGCATGTCGAATCTAG